CAAAAACATGCCTCAGAAATGAAGAAGAAGTCAATATATTCTCAGATGGGGAAAAAAAACTAAAAGAATTTATTGCCAGAAGACCTAAAAAAAATAACCTAAAGTTCCTGAACCAGGAAGCAAATAATAAAAGAAGAAATCTTGGAATATCAGAAAGAAGGAAAGAACGTGGAAAGCAAAAATGCGGGTAAACACAATAAATTTCCCTTCTCCTCTTGAATTTTCTAACTCACGTTTGATGCTAGAAACAAAAATTATATATTGGCCAGGTGCAGTGGCTCATACCTGTAATCCCAGCACTTTAGAAGGCCAAGGTGGGTGGATCATTTGAGGTCAGGAGTTTGAGACCAGCTTGGCCAACATGGTGAGACCGTGTCTCTACTAAAAACACAAAAATTAGCCAGGCGTGCTGGTGCATGCCTGTACTCCCAGCTACTCAGGAGGCTGAGGTAGGAGAGTCGCTTGAACCCTGGAGGCAGAGGTTGTGGTGAGCTGAGATTGCACCACTGCACTCCAGCCTGGGCAACAGAATGAGACTCTGTCTCAAAAAAAACCTATATATTGTCTAAGTACTACAACATTACCCTAACTGTATGTAGAAAAATTACTAAGACTATTATAAGCAGGGGAGGGTAAAGGGAGGCATAATTTTTATACTTCACTCAAACTGGTAAAATGAAAACTTCAATAGATTTTGATTAGTTGTGCATATATTATGTCACACCTAAAACACCCAAAAATAGAAAAGTTATATAAATAGATACACTAAAAAATGCTACAGGTAAATATAAATTGAATTCTAAAAGAGTAACTCTCAGAAAGGAAAAAGAGAGACAAATGAAAACAAAGATCAAACAAAAAACAAAACCAAAAAAATTACAGTAAATGGAAACGGTTTGAATACATCAATTAAAAGATATTGTTACAGTGGATTATAAAACATGACCCAACTATATGCTGTCTACAAGAAACTCACTTCAAATACAATGATATAGGCAAGATGGAAGCAAAAGGATAGAAAAATATATCATGTAAATATTAATTTTAAAAAGCGAGAGTAGATATGTTATTAGGTATACTAGGCTTCAGAAAAAAAGAAAATTACCAGAGACAGAGAGGGATATTATACAATGATAAAAGGATCAATCCACCAAAAGACATAGTAATCCTAAATGTGTATGCACCAAACAATGGAGATGCAAAATAGGTGAAGCAAAACTGATAGGACTGAAAGAAAAAAATAGACAAATCTGCAATTATGGTTGGAGGCTTCAACCTACCCCTCTCAACAATTGGCTTAACAACTAGAAAGAAGATCAGGCAGAATATAGGACTCAACACCACCATCAACCAACAAGATCAAATGGACATTTAGAGAGCACTATACCAAACAGCAGCAGTACACAGGTTCTCTTCAATGCCTCTGTATTAGTCCGTTTTCATGCTGCTGATAAAGACATACCCAAGACTGGGTGATTTATAAAGAAAAAGAAATTTAATGGATTTACAGTTCCACGTGGCTGTGGAGGCCTCACAATCGTGGCAGAAAGCAAAAGGCACTTCTTTTTCTTTCTTTTTTTTTGAGATATTTGAGATGGCGTCTCACTGTGTCACCCAGGCTGGAGTGCAGCAGTGCGATCTTGGCTCACCGCAAACTCCACCTCCCAGGTTCACGCAATTCTTCTACCTCAACCTCCCAAGTAGCTGGGATTGCAGGCACCCGCCACCATGCCCAGCTAATTTTTGTATTTTTAGTAGAGACAAGATTTCACCATATTGGCCAGGCTGGTCTTGAACTCCTGACCTCAGGTAATCCACCTGCCTTGGCCTCCCAAAGTGTTGGTGGCAGCAAGAAAGAATAACAGCAGCTTGGTGCGATGGCTCATACCTGTAATCCCAGCACTTTGCAATCCCAGCACTATCTTTTTTTTTCTCAAAAAAAAAAAAAAGAAAAAAGAAAAAAAAAAACCCAGAAAGAATAACAGAACTTGTGCAGGAAAATTCCCCTTTATAAAATG